GCTTTTTTCTTTTTGCTTATGTGGTGCTGAGGAATCAAACCCAGGGCCTCAGGCATGCAAGGCAAGCACTCTACCACTGAGCCACCTTCCCAGCCCCAAGTGGTCATTTATTTAGATTAAGAAAATTCTTTGAAGTGGCACTGTGGCTCAAGTGGTAGAGTTCTAGCCTTGAGCAAAAGAAGCTCAGGGACAGCACCCAGGCCCAGAGATCAAGCCCCAGGATCAACAACAACAAAATAAATAAAAATTCTTGTAAGGTACTGGTGGCTCACGCCTATAATCCTAGCTACACAGAAGGCTGAGATCTGAGAATTGCGTTTCAAAGCCAGCCTGGGCAGAAAAATCCTCATGAGACTTTTTTTTTTTTTTACTTTAATAATGTATTAAATATTTTATTTAAATATAGCAAACACCTTTCTATTATTCCAATAAAACTTCAAATTACTTGCAAGCAATCTATGTACAGACTTATCTCCCATTAACCACTCAAAAACTGGAAGGGGCCCTGTGGCACAAGTGATAGAGCACTAGCCGTGAACACGAAGAAGCTCAAGGAAAGCATCCATGCCCTGAGTTAAAGCCCTACAACCACCACCCCCCAAAAAAAATTTTACCCTTATTCATGAGTTTTAAATAAATAGACGTGTCATAACTTGGATATTATATAGTGCTTTTGTTTTCTTCTCTTTTTTTTTGTCAGTCATGGGGCTTGAGCTTGGCCTGAGTGCTGACCCTGAGCTCTTCAGATCAAGGCTAGCACTCTAGTCCTTTGAGCCACAGTGCCACTTCCAGTTTTCTGGTAGTTAATTGGAGATGAGTGTCATGGACTCCTGCCTGGACTGGCTTTGAACCCAATCCTCAGATCTGAGCCTCCTGAGTAGCTAGGATTATAGGCTTGAGCCACCAGTGCCCAGCTGGCTTATTTTCTTTTGAGATAAGTTTTCACTATGTAGTTTAGGCTGACCCTGGACTCACAATCTTGCCTTAGTCTTCTGAGTGCTGGGATTACAGGTATATGCTACCACGCCCAGCTATCACTAGTGATATTTAAGATATGTTAAAATCCTTGATAGAGTTTATGAAAGTAATTATGTTTTTTATTTCATAATCTTTCCTAGGTACATTTCACATTTTATGCAAAACATCCCTTTTCCTTCAGCACAAAGACCAAGAATACTTGTACAGGTAATTAAAAAGAAATGTACTTTGAGGGAGTTTTGCATACATTTTATTCCAGTCATTACAGAAAGGATTCTCATAACCCTTTGAGGTGAACTAGTATGCATTCATTATGTTTTTAAACATCCTGTATTTAATAGCTTTATTGGGGAGCCTTTCTTATGGAATTTTGGATCCCTGACCTACAGAATTGTAATAAGTTGTTGTTGTTGTTGTTGTTGATCATGGGGGCTGAACTCTGGGCCTGAGCGCTGTCCCTGAGCTCTTCAGCTCAAGGCTAGCACCCAACCTGTAATAATTTTTTGATTTGCGACATTGTCATCATAGTTCATAAAGCCCATTCATAACCTTATGTAGCTAATTTTAGTAATATAAACTCTCAGGTTATGTTATGGTCATGTTCTTAATATCAGATTGACAAATATCAGTATGAAATAAACTGTGGTTAGGAGAAACTGAAACAGTCTATAGCAATTCTCACATTATCTGGAGGGAATTCTTTATTTTTCTCTGTAATAAATGGCAGACCTCAAAAAAGTGGAGGGAGGAAGGGTAAACAAATGCAATTGTACTATTTGGTATACACTATATGGAAAATGACCTATGTAACTTGTGGGCAGAGATGAGACGGGGGGAAACTGGGGGAAAGCAAAGGAAGGGGTAACATTGTCCAAAAATAGAAATCTGCTCATTGCCTAACTTATGAAGTGGCAACTCCTCTGTACAATACCTTAATAATAACAAAATTATATTTAAAAATAAATAAATGGAGCTGGGCACCGGTGGTTCACGGCTGTAATCCTAGCTACTCTGGAGGCTGAGATCTGAGGATTGTGGTTCAGAGCCAGCCCAGGTAGGAAAGTCCGTGAAACTCTTATCTCCAATAAACCATTAGAAAACTGTAAATGGTGCTATGGCTTAAGTGGTAGAGCGCTTGCCTTGAGCTGAAGAATGTAGAGACAGTGCCGAAGCCCAGAGTTCAAGCCCCAAGACCAACCAAAAAAAAATACATACAAACATATATGTATATATAAATGGGAGGTCTTTCACCTCGGTGGCTCCTACCTATGTAATCCTAATTCCTCAGGAGGCTGAGATCTGAGGATTGTGGTTCAAGGCCAACCCAGGCAGGAAAGTCTGTAAGATGCTTATATCCAGTTAACTAACAAAAAAACCAAAACAGACCTGAGCTGTGGCTTAAAATGGTAGAGCACTAACCTTGAGCACAAAAGGTCAGGGACAGTGCCCACACTCTGAGTTCAAGCCTGCGATTGGCACCAAAAAAAAAGGCAGACCTATGTAGATACATAGCTTCTTACATACATAACTTGCTAAGTAAGATTAGTATAGGATGAACAGGTCTGAACCTATTCAGAGATGTGATTCCATGGATTGCTTGCTTGGATAGAAAAGTTGCTGAATTTTTTTTTTTTTTTTTTTGTCAGTTGTGGGGCTTGAACTTAGGGCTTGGGCACTGTTCCTGAGCTCATTTGCTCTTACCACTTTGAGCCACAGTTCCACTTTTGGTTTTTGAGTTGTTAATTGGCAATAAGAGACTCAATGGGAACTTTTCTGCCCAGGCTGACTTTGAACCATGATCCTCAGATCTCATCCTCCTGAGTAACTAGGATTACAGGTGTGAGCCACTAGTACCTGGCTTGCTGAATGTTTTACTTCACATTTTTATACTACCTCCTTTTGCATACTCTCTTTGAGTAGCAATGGTGTAAAGAAGCAAGCTATTTAATACTTCTCTAAGATATCTACATTATATATGATAGGATTGAGTCAGATAATTGTTGATCTTGAAAGTAAGAGGAGAAAATATTAATATATACAGAACAACTACCAAATAAAAGTACATACTAGTCTAGGGAGGAAATAAATTTGAGATTTTTCTAAAAAAAAAGTTACTACAAACATTTTAAGTAACTGAGTTTTAGTCAGTACAATTACTTAAACTGCATTCAATCAGATCTCAAATTAACCTTTGAAAAGAATACAAGTACTTTTAATTGTTTACAAATACCTCTAAGTAAATACAGCTATCATTTTACATATTAGTTTCAAAAGTAAGTCTTGCTACTTACTTAACTATTTTCCATTGATCTGAATATTTAGATTTCAAAAATGGTTTTGTTAAATTACTTTTTTGTTTCTTTCAGCTGTCAGTTCATGATGCATTAATATTATCACAGCCTGTGTCTACACCTTTGCCACTAAGGTAATTTATGGTATTTATTTTTCCCTTTCTTTGGGGATGAGAGTGCCAGGAATTTGAACCCAAGGCCTCTTAAGTGTCCAGCACAAACTCTTAACGCTGAGCCATATCACCATCCCAATTATTGGTGTTTATAGTGCTTTAAAATGCTTTAGGGGTTACGATGTCAGAGTTAAGTGTGTTATTTTGCAAACTAGGTAAGGCTATTGCAAATGTTTCTAAGTTTGGATATATGGAATAATTCTCTTTTCATATCCTTCCTTGTCCCATATCTAGTTCATAACTAATGTTCAAAGTGTACTGAATTTAATTAGGCAGATACTGTGAATCTATTTACTTTTCCTCACATGCATCATTAGTCTATACTGGAATGTCTGCCTACCTGTACTGCTTTATTATTAATTGATCCTTTTCCTTTCCTTGCCTTCAATTCCTTCCTTCCTTCCTTCCTTCCTTCCTTCCTTCCTTCCTTCCCTCCCTCCCTCCCTCCCTCTCTCCCTTCCTTCCTTCTTTGCTTCCTTCCTTCCTTCCTTCCTTCCTTCCTTTCCTTCTCTTTCTTTCTTTATTTTTCTTTCTTTCTTTCTCTCTCTCTCTCTCTTTCTTTCTGTCTTTCTGTCTTTCTTTCCTTTGTCATGGGGCTTTAAGTCTGGGCTGGGGTGGGCATTGTCCCTGAGAGCTTCAGCTCAAGGTGAGTACTCTACCACTTGAGCCACAGTGCTACTTCAAGGGTTTTCTGGTAGTTAATTGGAGACAAGAGTCTCAGGGACTTTCCTGCTCAGGCTAGCTTTGAACTGTGATCCTCAGATCTCAGCCTCCTGAGTAAGATTACTGGCATGAGCCACCAGCGCCAGGCTTCTTTTTTTAATTTTAAATTATTGTTATTATAAAGTTGATGTACAGAGGGGTTACAGCTCCTTCACTACCATCACCACTACTACTACTTTCTTTTCCTTCCTTCCCTCTCTCTCTCCCTCCCTTCCTCCTTCCCCCTTCCTTCCTCCCTTCTTCCTTCCTTCCTTCCTCCCTTCTACCTTTCCTCCATTCCTTCCTCCTTTGCTATACTGGGGCTTGAAGTCAGGGT